ACCATATCCTCTCAAATTGGCACGAGCTGGGAACCGGGCCTTTCATGACAATGAAACGAACCGTATACTGAGGCTACTTCAGAGCTTTTTGTACGGAACATTCAGAGATAAACAAAAACCAGAAGAAGACTCGGGAATCCACCAACAGTCCTCATCACCCCACTCCTGCAAGACTTACTGCAGCAAAGCCACCATCTCTACTGCTGCTATGCCCTATTTCTGTCCTACCAGCTAGCCCCTTCACTAGCAGGATGCGTGATACCTTTCTCTCTCGATCCCTTACCTTCCCGTTACTCAGAAAAGGTACGGGAATAGACTGCAAAAGTCCTAAAAAAGCCCCCAATCCCGCAAAATCCCTAACAGATCCTTCCAAGGATCTCCAACACTGTCGTATTCCCTGCCGAGCATCCAGGCCTCACACCCCCCATCCTGCTGGGTTACAGGGCAACACAACTCACCCCAGCTCTGGCCAGCGTCGTCTCATCAGCAACCCTTGGTTGTACCGTGGGATGCCCCCCCAAAGCACCCCCAGATCTCTCTACCAGGCCTCATGCTCCTGCATCAACAGGTTATAGGGCAACACCCCAGCACCGGCCAGCGTCGTTCTGGCGTCGAACAGCATTAGGTCACCGAGTATTACAGCCTTGAAACTACCTAGAAGAGATTGCCAGGAAACCCCAGGATCCAGAAGACTTTTTAAGGACAGAACACACTACCCCCTTTTTTTGAGAATTGGATTTAACTACGTAAAGATTCGTAATTTGAAAACATAAAAAAGGTCTGGCGGGTCCTAGAAATGCTCAGAAACCCTTGGAATCCCTAACGCTCCTTCCGAGGCCTTTCAACACTGTCCTACTTACTGCCGAGCTCTTCCAGGTCTCACACCCACATCCTGCTAGGTTACAGGGTGACACAACTCACCCCAGCTCCGACCAGCGTCATCCCAGCAGCAACCCTTAGCTGTTCCGTAGGATGCCCACCCCTAAGCATCCCCAAATCTCTCTACCAGGCCTCATGCTCCTGCATCACAGGTCACAGGGTAACACCCCAGCTCCGGCCAGCGTCGTTCTGGAATCGAGCAGCCACAAGTCCCTGAGTATAACAGCATCAAAAACCACCTGAGAAAAGTTGCTAGGGATCCCGAGAGCCCAAAAGCAGTCTTAAGACCCCCGAACAGCCATCTGTAAAAAGAAAAAAGAAGGGGGGGGGAGATCAAAACTAAATACCAATCATCCTAAAGTCCCCCCCTCAACAAAGGAATTGTCGGTCTCGACTTTCGGTCCTCGAACCAAAGCACACTTGGTCTCATACCCCCTTCTGCATGGGTAACAGGGCACCGCAACCTTCCCCAGTACCGACCAACCTAGTTCTGTCGGATAGGAAGTGCCTTCCTCCCTCGGCAATTCCCATAGCAACAAACCCCTTCACAGGTTACAGGGTCAGGACCCCGGCGCCGCTTGTGTTGGACGATCTGGTTATGCCTTCCACCCTCGGCATAATTCCATGGGCCTCAAGCTCCCCCATGGGTCACAGAGTCAAACTCCAGCACCGGCCCATGTCATCCCAGCCTCGTCCTCCTGACCTACTCGCCTTCCCCGACATCCATCCTCTTATTGAAGGTCACCTTTCCTCCTCCCATCCTCCCCTTTTTAATTCCCCCCCTCCTTCCTTGATCAAAATCAAAATTATCTGAGTTTATGGAACTTCTATAGGAATTTATTTGAAGAATCTTTTCAGAAATTTCTTAGAAACTTTTATAGGAAAATATTTCGTTTATAGAACTTCTATAGGAATTTATTTGAAGAATCTTTTCAGAAATTTCTTAGAAGTTTTTAAAGGAAAATATTTCGAAAATATTTTTAGAAGCTTTTGTAGGAAAATATTTTGAGAAGCATAAGTTTTTTGAAGCTTTTATTCAAAAAATATTTCGAGTT